ACTTTTAATATGTACTTAATTGCTCAACTACATATAAAAAATTTAATTAATTATACATAATATTAGTTATTAAATTTTTATTATATATTTATAAATAAAAAAGTGTTTGATAAAAATTTGTTAATTTAGTTTAATTAATTTATCTATTAATTTTATATTAAATATACTAATTAATATATGGTATATAATATAAAATTTAAATAAGATATATAACAATATATATAATAACACTAATTTCGCAACAAACGAATTGGTAATCATTACGTTTTTGTAAGGATTAGATTTGATGGTTTGTTTCACAGTATCAGAAGAGGTCTGGCCTATTACATTTCCACAGCAAATGTCAGGTTTTATTGCGACTTTTAATGGATGTAATATTTTTTTATTAGTAATTACCTGGCTTACCATGGCTTAATTACCTGGTAATTACCATGGGTTCAATTTGGTGCACTGATATCCATCAAACGAAATTTGTCTAGTAACTTAAGAAAAATCGACACTTAAGAAAGATCGAAAGCGATAGTTATACGACCCTTATTAATGCTTATATGATTCAAGCTTTAAATGAAAAAACCTTAAATTGAATTTATAATGGCTTTGACTATTACAGCACTGTTTAATAAGGATCACTAACTATATAACCCTTTGTGTGTTATTTATATTATTTATATATATAGAAAATAAAATAAAGTTATAATAAAAGATAATATAATAAATAAAGAAATGAAGAAATAAATAGGAAGTGTTAAAAGGAATGAGAGGAATTAAGAACACAGACTTTTTTATTTTACAGAATTTAGCAGAACTGAAGTTGACATAATATTTTCTGGAGAGGTTCCGAAAAGTAGTGAATTACAACATCAAAAATTCTTTTTATATTAATATATTTATAATTAATTACGACAGTTTCTATTAGTAGAAATAGTTACTACTGTCATATTCACGGTTAAATCAAATTTCATAAATTTTTTAAATTATGTTTTAATTTATATTATTTATATCCAAAATAAAATTGTATATAATTTATTTTGAGCAATAATCACCTCTTAATTTAAACAGTTGTTAATTTTTATTATTATTATTATTTTTAGCTTATAGTATTCAATATAACTTCATTGTTTAGCTAATATATAATTTTTTTTTTAAGTTTAAGTTTTTTATTCCTTTCAAGAATAATCAGCTGTCTATGTAATCCTCATTATATTCATATTTATCAGGGTTAACATACCACAACCTTGGCATGCATTATTCAATAATAATAGTTAGGAATTTTTATCTACCTGGTCTTTGACTTATATTTTATTTGTTAAATCCCCTATTTTATTAGAATAAAAAGCATTAAATTTTGTTATAAAGAAAATTGGGTTGTATAGAGTACGCCCTTGAGTCTCCCTTTTAATCTATTGGATTTATTATTCCCTTAACAAAAATACAGGCATTTTCCCATTCAACCCTCTTTTTATCCTAGCATTCATTCCAGTCACTCCTTGGCAGTCGGTAACTTTTTGATTTGTGGTGGCACGCCTTTAGGCAAAATTTTGGATTAATATGTGATTTGAATTAAAATATGATTAATTTCATATAACATAGTATAAATATTTTTTTTTTATTAGTGTAGAAGGGTGAAAAATATTGCATTATATAGTATATATAAAAAAAAATATGCTCAATAATAATATGTGGGTTTAAGAAATTTTTTTAAAATTTTTTATATTTGCAATATGGTTTATTTATCTTTCTTATATTGTGGTAATATTATATTGGTGCTATTCATTTAATAATTATTCACGAAATTATAATAACAAAAACTATCTTTAAAGAAAAAAATATATATATATTTATTAAAATAATTTAAAAAAAATAATACAATAGTATAGTAATAACTGCATGTACTATAATAATTGAAGGAAATATGCTCCCTCCTTTATTTTTTTTAAATGGATTGTTTCTTTGTACTAAAGGTTCACTTAAACGGGTACCAACGGAAATCAACGGGGAAGAACGTAGTTGTATAATCAGAATAATCAAGAATCAGAAATTATCTCTGCATACTAAAAACGTTCCTTTTAAAAGAATGTATTAGTAGAAAGAATATAGTAGTATAATCAGAATAATCAGGGATCAGAAATCCTCTCTCCAAAACAAAATCATTCTTTTTGAAAGAATGTAATAATATAATTAGAATAATCAGAGATTAGGAATTTTCTCTGGATAAAAATTTCATCTTTTTTAAAAGAATGTAATAGTATGAGCAGAATAAACAGATGTCAGGAATTCTATTTAAATAAAACAGTCATTCTTTTTGTAAGAATGAAATGTAGAGCATAATCATAAACTGAGAAGTGAAAGCTAATAAAGAGTAAAGATTTAATAATAATAAATTTAAAAATACGATAAACCAATAATTTGCCAGAAAGATCCCACATAATAAGCTTCGTACATGAGAAATAAAAATATACACAAAGACTTGAGAGCCCAGAGTGTGCAAGAGAACATCAATAGTTCGAAATTGTTTGATTCTGTGGATGCATAACTAATTCAGAATTGCAATCTCTTAAAAGGATATGCTGGTCTTCAAAATACACTTCTGTAGAATTATCTGAATAACTTATTATTAGAATTCAACGGAATTAAAGCCAATCATTCGATTGCTTCAGATCATAACACGCATTTCATCAAGCAAAGACGAAAAAGATACATCCTTTTTTGGACAATATAATTTATGTTGCACATAATAAAAATTATATTTTAATATAATATATTAATATATTTCAATATTTATATATATATAGAAATATATAGAAATTTTTTATACAGAGGTTTTTTTTTAAAATTTTAAGCATATCATGACATCAAATCATCTTATCTTGTTTATTTTTCGTGCTGTTAATTAGCACTTTTGTTCGGATTTGTCATTTTTGTTACTGATAGATTGGTTTTAGCCAGTTTTATGTTAAATGTGCATACAAAAACCATAAGTGTGGAGTAAAACAGTTTGATATAAATTTAATTTAATAAAGGAACTCATATGAGGGATGTTCAATTTCTTCAAAATCTTCAGTACTTCAAAAAGTGATGTTTATTTGTTATTATTATTAGAAAATAATTATTTAAAAATTATTCAGTGTTTTTAAAATTATACAAAAATATGTTTTTCATTTAATTTTAAGTTTTTTGTTCAATTATTTATCTTTATTATTTGCCAAATCATAAAATTAAGCGTAACAGATATTTGTAGTGATTTTTCTTCCAAAAAATCGTAACTTTTTATTTACCTTTAATCGCACATTACAAGTAGAAATCTTTAAATGTGAATCTTTTGTTTTTGTACTTTTCGCAATAGAAAAAGAGAAAAACTTCATTCAAAACTTTTATCTACGAAAACATTTAGCCAAAAAAAATTTTTATTGTTTTATGTTGCCTGCATGCATAAACAGATTCGGAAACATTATTACTTCTGACCAAGAGGACTAACTGACTAACTGACTAACTGACTGGCAGACTGGCTGACTATTCCACAGCATTCCGCTTAAATACTGTTCCTAACAAAAACAATTTTTAATGCCATGTGGCCAAAAAGTTTTTTTGAAGTTGAAGTTGAAGTTAGTTTTTTTTTTTTTTGGTTCCTTAAAAAGTTTGACGCTTTTTTGATTTTATATTTTTTTTTTTGGAATCTTTTACTGAACGGTAGATAAAAATCACGGAGTGTTTATAGGAAATCCATAAAACATGTTTTGTTGCTGCCGTTACTGTTGCCAGTACTGTTCCGTTGCAGTTGCACGATTTAAGCCAACAAAAGTCTTTAGCAATATTTTTCAACTTGCAACTGAAACCATATTTTTCACCGCTCAGTCACAGCCACAGTCACAGTCACAGCCAAGTTGAGTTTAGTTTTGTTATGTACTTACGCATTGGCGTACGCTTTTACTTGTATCTGTAGATTGTTTTTTTTTTTTGCTAAGAGTTTTTATTTCAATCTTATTTTTTTTGTTTCTTTTTTGGTTTGCCCAAACGTAGATACTTCAATGTTTTGTGCACGAGTGCAAGAAACTTTTGAATAACAAATGCATACACGTACATGAGTAGACTACTAAAGACCATCCAAACTGGACGCATTCTGCATCAACACGAACCACCGCGGTAACGACAACGTTTCACTGTTCACTGTTTCACTGTTTCACTGTTTCGATTTGAGTAAGTAACGAAGTTGGCGTTATGTTACGTACTGCGAATTTCAAACTGTAGAATGTGGCATGTATCTTGTAGTTCGTACTGGCTATCCTCTCCACTCTTTTATTGTAGGTGCAACGTGCCTGCAACTGCTGCAATGCACTGTTGCTGTTGCTGATGCAAACGTTGCTGTTGTTGGCGTTTTTGGCGTTGTTGTTGTTGCTGTTGATGGTTTCTATAGTTAAAGTTTGTGCGCATAATAAAGTTTCTTTGTTTTGAGTACTGAAGCTTTATTGTTAATTGTGAATTGTAGATAATTTCTTTAGTTTTGTTTTCATTTCTGCATTTAACTTTTTATTCACAAAGAATAAAAAAAGAACAAAATACCATATAGAAAGAAGTTTTTCTGTTCTTTTTAATTTTGAATTATGTTTTTTTTCTATTTTTATGTGTTTTTATTCTGCATTCCCAGCAAGTTGAGTACATATTTCGCTATTTCAGTTGGAATCATCTGCAGGATTTAATAGTTGTAATGATGGATTTATGTTCCTATTCTGTGGTGTTATTAGTAGTCTAATTGAAAGCGGAGGTTTTTAAAAGGAATTAGCAGCAACGCGCTTGAAATATTTGAAAATTTTCTCGCAAAAATATTTTAAATGAAAGGTGAATTAAAAATGCTTCAAATTATTGCAGAATAACTGCAAAAGTTTTTAATTAAAATAATTTTTTGAAATTCAGTTTTAGTTTTTAATAAGGTTTTTTGAAATAATAAAATGGTTTTAAATATTTTTTTTTATAAATTAAATAAGTGAGAAAATATATTGTTCAAAATGCTAATAGCTATTGTGATGATAATGATAATTATAATTATGATGATAATTGTGATGATGATGATGATGATAATTGTGATGATGATGATAATTGTTTTGATGATGATAATTGTAATGATGATGAGAATTGTGATGATGCATATGATGATGAGAACAACGATAATGACGATGTTGATAAAGGTGTTAAGAATCATGACAATAATCATGATTATGATAATCACAATTATGACAACAATAATGATAATAGCAATGATAACGAAGAGAATGATTGTGATAATTATGCTAATAATCATAATGATAATTACTTTGATTGTGATTATGATGCTTATGAGTTTTTGTGCTCTTTAGAAATACACAGGGAAGCTGACTTTGATACACCATCTGATGATAGTGACGACAATAGTGATAATGACGATGACGACATTGGGAATGATTATGATCATTAGCATTATGGTAATGACTTTGATAATATTGAAGAGGATAACAATGATGATGGTGATGATGAAAATCATAGTAATGTTGTCGAAAAGAAATTTCAATCCTCTTTAGTAGGACACAGGGTTTCTTCCTTAATTTTAATCTGTCTTTGTTAATGATTGGTTGAATATAATAATAATGATTTTTATCATAATGATAAGGATTTTGATCACAGTAATAATAATGAGAACAAATTTATCTTTTTTTAATTTATAACTGACTTTGTTGATGATGTCGACAATAACGATAATGACGATGATATCGATATGGATATGACTATGGTAATTATGATTATTAGTATGACAATGATTTTAATCGTAATGATCATGATGTTGATGATGATAATGATAATAATAAGGATAACGACTAATTTCTGTCCTCTCAGAACATAAAAAGAAAGCAATCATGTTAAAGAGTACCTGTGCATTTACAAACTCACACTTTATTATGCTATTATTCTACTACAATTTAGTAGTTACGCATGACAGCTGAAGGCTTTATGATTTCTACATCAATGCTTGCCAAATTATATAGTTCTTTGTTACTCCAAGGAAGTAAATAATCCTATATTCCCATTTATGTGACATCCTAACTTATTCCATTCTATTTACAGTTATGTATTTCATCTTATAGTTTTCATTTTGATTTTAAGCCTGACCCCAATTTAGTCGTAAGTGACAAAAGTACAATTTAACCATTTATAACCACATATAGATCATGAGAAAGATATGATTCTAAACTTGCTACGTATACTCCTATGCAATATTCTTTACCATCGTGTAGCATTAGCGACCTGCACATAGACGATCAGTTTCAAAAAACTTGTGTTATGAGAAAAGTAAAATCACATTTCAGTCGCTACTGTCTCCGAGTGCGGTAGGGCCTTCAGCTAAGTTGAAAGTTTCTTAAATTCCCACATTTGTTCTTTGTAGAGTTGCTATTTAAATTAATTTAAAAATTCTGTGTAAATATTCTTTTTATTCTTGGCTTATGATCCTGTTCTTAAGCTTACCTTGGCATAAATTAATAAGCCATATTGTATTCAAGAATACATACGTACTTTGCTTCAACGAAAGCTGAAACAACACATAGGTATATATATATATACGTATACATATATAAATATACTTATTCATACATATATATAAAGTGCTTTAACTCCTACGAGGAGCAAAAGGACGGGAAAACTATAACAATAGTAAATATAATTATATTTATATGTATTTGTGGAATATTTATTCATATTTATATATTATATATATTTATATATTAATAATGAAGATGAATAATTTTCTTTAACACATATCAATACATTTTTGTATTCATGAAATATCTATAGGTATTTTCATATCACTCATTACCGATTATAGCGTTTGGTATCTTAAATAATTGCCTTTCCGTCTATTAAGTTGCACTGGATATGCAGCTGCTGTAGCTTAACTTTAATTTTAAATTTCTTTGCTGAATTACTTTTTTCGCATTTAAAGACGAGCACAGCCTGCCATATTGCTGTGCGCTGCCACAATGCGCCAGTAATACCGTTTCCAGAGCTCAGTGCCATGTTCGTGTTGGAATACATTTATTTTTATTAATCACTGACATGCCTTCATTTTGTATCTTGTATTATTATTTTATTTCCATTTTCAATTTTCTTATTTTTTTTCAACATTTTTTCTTAACGCTTATTACTATTATTTTCGTAGGCAGTTGGCTTCCGATGATGCATTTGTGCAAGGCAACGGCCGGTTGCATTCCTTGTTGCTGCACGCTCATGGTAGACTCATGGTAGGCAGCTTACCTACAGAGTGCTTGAGTTTATAGCTGCAGTTGTTGCTGGGCATGGTTGTTGTTGTTGTTGTTGCTGTTGCTGTACTACGTTGCAATTTTAATTTCAAATCCGATTTCAATTTATAAGCTTGTTGAATTTTTTTATCATATTACTGCTTGTTGGCGTTTTTATTTTAATGTCTGTTTTTTTTTTTGAATTTTTCTTTTTCTATATTTTTTACGTATTAAAACGATTTTCCTTTTTATGCTGTCCCTATTATGTGTTGCTCATACCAGTTGCAATACTTGAGGCATAAATTGTGCTTTTATGCGCACAATTTTAGTTCATCACTTTATGTATTGGCACTTTGTCGGACCACATTGCGTATGAGTCTCATGATTGTGTGTAGTAGGAATTAATATCTTTCTTTGTTATGTGCGCTAATATTTACCGCATATTTAAGCTCGACCAAAGCGATGTTTTAGTGCAGCAATTGTTATGTCGGCCATTGCATTCAAGCTGCATTTTTATTGTTTTCATTTTACATTAGATTGGCATTTCTAACCATCAAGCCATAATCAGTCTAAGTCACAAAGGTTTGTTTCCGTGTGTTGAAACGCGTATCATTTCTTTCAGTGCATCCTCTTCATCAGCTTTTCATCCTCACTCTTGTGTCTTATACTCAACGGCGTGTTCATCAAAGTATCATGGCATGGTCAGTTGAAGTAACAATTTATGTGCTTACATTTATCAGTTTTACTTAGGTTTTCCTTTTTGGACAAGAGCTGTGCTCTTGTCAATGCACCTTAAAGTGTTCTGCACTTATACTATAACGTACGTCCATAGTGTGGCTCACGCATGCGTGCATGCACTATTCAGCTCAATGCTAATTATACTTATAGCACACAGCTCATTTAAGTTGCTTTGACGAACTGACCATTATTTCTGTGCAGAAATGCCTGCTGATGAGCATCCTTTTGTGTGCTTAACTAATCATGGCAGAAACTTCAACTAGGCACTTCTAAAGTTTGGTATCGGTTTAGTTTCGGTTCAGTTCGATTCAGTTGGCGGCTTATTTGTGCATCTTTTGTAATTATTCCTTTTTGTTACTGCCAATTTTCTACATGAGTCTGTCATTTCTGTGAGCTGCTGCTGCAGCTGTTGGCTATGGCTTCGGCTTTGACTTCTTCCTGGGATTAGCTTACATTTGCTTTTCGTATGTTGTGCAGTCAGTCAGTCCATTTGTGCAATATTTCGTTGCATGGCTGTCTTTGCATTCGTCTTGCTTGTTGGCACTACTGCATTATTCCTTTTTTTTTTTTGTATTTGGTTTCAGCATTTATACTCTCATGTTTGCTTGCTACTTATAGTTAACTACTTTTTTCTTTTGCCTTTTCATTTTTGTGTTATTGTTTTAGTATCTTTTTTGGTGTTTTTCAATTTCACTGCATTTTAAGTGAGCTCAGCAATGCGAATGGAATTTTTGATTTCGTGCATTTGCTGGCTTGGTCGAGGTCCGTTCACCGTATGGTCTATACAAGTAGCCGCCGCCATACGTATTCGCCTGTGTTTGTTAAGCGCTTTGATTTATTCTTGATTGAATTTTGATTTGGCGGGTAATTGAACTTTTCTTTCTTCCTTCTGCATACTCACATACAAGCCTAGTATGTGGTGCTGGCACAATTACGACGTGTATGTGGACTTTTCGAGTTGATAGACTTTGCAGGTCGGTCGGCTAGTAGGCAGTCAGTCAGTCAGTCCGTCAGTCGGTTTGCATTTTGTAAGGAAGCTTTTGATTACAGTAAAGGCAGTGGACGATTTTCAATTTGAATTGTGTTGACTTTTAGCTGATTGCACTACTATGATTACTCGTACAAGTTTTAATTGAACCATTGACTTTAGTTGAAGTCAAATTTTTACTTCAGTTTATAGAAGTCGATTTATTATTTAAAACAAGTTGATCGTTGTACAGTTAAATTGTCAATAAAATATTATTTTCTGACGTTATTCATGTTAGTTCAAAGACCAAAGAAAAGCATTTCAAGTAAAATATGTGGTGTATTAATTTAATTGCAGTTCATATGAATTTTAATAGATAATATGTGAATTAGAGAGTTCCAATTTTCATGAGTTTTTGATTTTAAATGATTTGCATAATTACCATTTCTTAGTATATATATATAGTAGTAATTATAAATTGCAGCTGAGTCTAACATTAATATTTATATACAAATATATGTATAAATATTTGTTATGTTATATAAACATACTTGATGTACTACCCCAGTCAAAAAGGGATTTCAGAAACTAATAACAAAAACATATCTGCAAAAACAAATAGTTTTTTTTTTGTGTTTGGTTTTGTGGTGAGAAGGTGGAATGCTTTATGCACCGTTAAACCGACCGTCGTCGGAATAGTGTGCCCGACTCCCTAACATGAATATGTAGTATACGGAATAAAACACCCCCTCTTCAGCGAGAGTTATTCCCCCCTCGGAACCGCTTTCGCATTACTTCGAGGAGGGTATCTTTTCTGTTGACATTTCAAACCACGCTCTCTTGATTTTCGATCTGCGTCCAGACCACCACTTTTCACCGCTTTTTGGTGTTCACTCTATTTATTATGTTTCTTATTCTTGTTTCTAGTTCTCCTTTCTAGATCTAATTTCTTTGTTTTGAGAACTTGAATCCCATATGACTCTATCGTTCGCCGACTCTCTGGGTTCGTTTTCATCTTTTTCATTATATTTTCGGGATTTATAGGTCCCAATCTGCGCTATTATCTCTTCGGAATCTAACATTAATATTTATACATATGTATATATATATGTAGGAATAATATAAAATGCAACCCTTCAACTCTTTTGCTCTGACGGCGAAAGAGAATAAAGAAAGAGGCAGAGCGAAGTAGTTGAAGTCGGCAGGCAGTCCGAACATACGTTTTATTTTCATAGTGAATTGTCTTTAAGTAAATTATTATTAATTTTTAATTTTCAATAAAAGTTTAATCACACTACATATAAATACATATAGATTCATATATAGATTCAGCTGCAATTTATAATTACTACAAAAAACCGATATTTAAAGTGAACTAAAAGTCGATTTCAAAATACCTACAAACCTTTTGTTTTCACAGGTATGTTTTTGTTATGAGTTTCTAAAAGCCCCATTTGACCGAGGCAGTACATCAACCCACAT